TGATGACTCCGGCATTCTGCAAAAAAAAAGTGCTGCCCATCCAAGCCTTTATTTGAGAAAGCAGGAGAACAGCTCCACACAGGTTGACTTTTTGAAACTTTAGGTGTATTCAAGAAAAGAAGTCGCTACCTGCTTTGTGAATGAAGAAACAGAGCTGAACACTGGAAGAAGTTTCTAGGTAGCTCGTGGTATACATAAGACAGAGCAGAGTAGTTCTGAATTACAGTGAAAGAATAAAAACAAAAACATGTCCAACAACACTCAGGATGCATAAACAGAAAACATTTAAAAAGAAGAAAGTCAGCCGGGCGCGGTGGCTCACGCCTGTAATCCCAGCACTCTGGGAGGCTGAGGCGGGTGGATCACAAGGTCAGGAGTTCGAGACCAGCCTGACCAACATGGTGAAACCCCGTCTCTACTAAAAATACAAAAAAGTTAGCTGGGTGTGGTGGCACATGCTGTAATCCCAGCTACTCAGGAGGCTGAGGCAGGAGAATTGTCTGAACCTGGGAGGCAGAGGTTGCAGTGAGACAAGATGATGCCACAACACTCCAGCCTGGGCGACAGAGTGAGACTTTGTCTCTAAAAAAAAAAAAAAAAAAAAACGAAAGTTATCATTTACAACTTAGCAAACTCAGCATATTTTTACATGATAAGTTTGTAACGTATTGTATGGGGATTTTCAGTCTTCTTCATAAGTTTGGTTAACAACTTCAAGATTTTATCATTGATGGCATTTGAATCCTAAAAAGTTAAAATTCTCTGAACCAGGAAGGTTTGTGGCAGATAAAATTTTAAACTTCTGAAGAACTGTCAAACTTGTCAAAAGTATCCTAGGAATATCATTAAGATTCTATCTGCACTTTTCAAGCTACTTCATGGCAATGCTTTATGTTCTAAAAAGTAATAAAATAGCACACGATTATGAACACAGCATAAAATCACAATCACAGAAGTATTCTATAATTATAATAAAATTGTTTTTAATTTAGTCTACACTCATGACATTTTAAGGAAAAAAATGTATACCTTTGAAAATGGTTAGCAATCCTGCCATAGAAAGCAACTGATCATTCTTAATCAAGTTTCAAACATACTCCTTCACACAGCTGCACACACAATGTGTACTAACCTAATTGTTAGTTTCACCTGCTCCAAGTTAGCAATATTTCATACAGCTCATGGCAATAATGGCATTTTCAAGTGTTAATCTGTGGAGTATAAATCTAAACTTTCTTTCAATAGTTTACGACATGTTTTTGTGCCACCCAGGGGTCTAATGTACAAAATAGGTGATTTTGAGTTTCCTTACTTGAAAACAAATCTCTTTTCAGTCTAAATTAAGTTATATTCTTCCATATTTTAACAATAATTTTTCATACTGAGAGATACCAGAATAATTTTTTCAACAATTATATAAAGTACTCTGATTCAATCAAACATTGGGGGGAAAATGCAAAAACATTTACAACCTGTTGAAGGTTAGTAAATAAGAAGGTAAATACTTCTTGTCCTATACCACCACAGCCAAAACTGCAAATTCAGTAATGATTTTTGTTACTATCTGAAATCTTCAGTTTCTGAGTATTAAGGACAGCAATGATAAAAAAAAAAAAATTACCTTCTTGAGATTATGAGCTTAAGCTCTGGATTCTGCACATGGAATAAATCTGTTTCCAGAGATCATACTCCTTTATGAAGGAATCACCCTAACATATAAAGTTGGCATGACCATACAACTCAAAGATTTTAATTTATGATATATACGAAAGCAGTTTTTCACAAAATGGAAGTTTTGTATTGAATTTCTATGGTATGGAATTCTTGTTTTATAAACACATTTCCTGATTTCTGAAAAGAGTACATGTTTCTCTATACTTATACTCTGCCAAGCATTAAATTAAATGTATATTTAACTAATTCAAAGCACAGATAGAGAATTCTGACCAGCAAATTTCTCTGGAGCATTTGTCTCTGTCCCTCAATTGTTAAATGGTCAAAACACCATGTCTTCTCTGGTAACAACCTAGTAAATGAGGTCACCACATCCACAATACCAAAAGCCACCTTATTCTCTCCTAAGATTAGCTGCAAATTGGTACAGATGTAAACATTCCCTTAAGTTTATTCAAAACATAAATACTCTGCATAGAGGACTGGACATTAATGTTTCCAGAACCTTAATAAAGTCCCATAATAAAGAAACTGAATGAAGTTTCTAATTTAGACTCTCTTTGGCCTCAATTGATTTTAATAAATCTAAGATTTTCCTGTACAGTTACCAAAAAAAGATGCCTAAATGTTACAAGAACACACACTAAACACTTTAGAAGTAAACAAAACTGGGTAAACTTTATTTTAGTCGATACTACATGAGTCATAACTTAGTTAGAAACCTGGTTTATTTGTAAAACACAAGACATAAAAAGTTTTTAAAAAGCTATTGAGAGCTAAAGGAAAACACATACAACCGCATATATTTTAGTGTAGGGCTTTTCAACCATTAATTTGCAAAATAATTTATTTAAAATCAAATACTGTATTTCCAAAAAGCAACAGTTAACCAGGAATCTCTGAGGTCCTTTGAGGTGTGATCATTTCACCCTATTAAAACAATTGGATTTTCTTTGTCCTTTGTTTTTTGTTCTTCATCTGCATTAACATGGCTGCTAATTATATTAGCCTGGTGGCACATAAAGTCTGAATGGGTAAAATCACATGATTCTCATAGAACATAAAACTCCTTAGGATTCCAATGTACACTTGCTTAGATTGTGCTCTTCTGTATTACAGCTGTCTATTCTGTTAGAGAACTTAACCATGATTCAGAATGTCTGTTTCATAAGTGATGGTGCAACTCTCCAAGACACCATTGTATGTATGGATGCATGCATGTACTCAACAGCACGTGTCCATACTGTGAGCACACAAAAACACAAAGGAACCTTTAGCCTTATCATTCTACTTTGAATATTTAGCTTCCCTATTGGTATATTTATGTTTTTCTGAAATTAAGTTCTTGAGGAGTTTGTATTCATCACACAAAATGTCACACAGATCTAGTTCACACACTTGCCATACAAAAGCCATATTATATTAAATGATTAGAAGCTAAATCACATTTTTCAAATTTTAAATTGAAAGCATAAGAATGATCTACACACCCACTCATTCTCACAGTTTTATGCTTTCACACAGTGAATCAGCAAATGTATTCTTTTCTGAATAGTATATAAAAATAAGAATGTTTTGAATACCTTTATGCAGTTTGGCATACTTGGCCTAATGGGTTGTTTCACAAAGTAAACTGCCTCATTGTTCTGGTTAGCTTTATGATTAAGAGTAAAAACCCTTTATTGCAAAACTTATATCAATCTGTGGTAAAGAAAAACAAACTAGTTTACACATCACTGAGAAACTACTACATTCTGAAAATTATATTTATAGTTCCATCTCCTTTTTCTTACAAACAAGTACATAAATGCCTAATTCACAGATCAAAACAGACACCTTCAGGTAACTTCCATGTGAAAGAAAAACATCCGGAGACAATACATAACAAAAAGCAGTGGTTCAGCTAAATATTAAACAAAGCAACAAAAACTAACACTCATGGGCTTCACGACAACTGATAAACAAGTACACTTAAGGAATTCCTCTGTCAGTTTCAATGGCAAATCCTTGCTCTTTGGAACACTTTACTGATTGGACACTCAAACATCTTCTGCCTTGTAGTCACTTCAACCTTTATGAAACAATTGTTGAAAATGCACATGGCTATTTCAGTTAATTTATACTTTCTAAGGAAAGCTATTTAATGACAAGTGTGAGCAAGTACCTCCTACCTCAGATTAACCACTTACTGTGGTATATTTTTTACCTCTCAACTCTCTCCTTAAACCCTCCTTCTATTGCCCTTAGGGAACTGAAATTCAGAGACATGACGTTTTCTATTACTGGTTCCTTGCCTCTTTGCAACTGTACAACATTCCTCAAAAAGTACATATAATTCTCTATCCTATAGGTTCAGACAACAATATCTATTTCAGGAGCCATAATATGCATAATGAAAGACAGAATTTTTTTTGGAATTGTCTGTGATAATTGTGGTTTAAAGGTTACTGTTTCCATCTATGTCAATGGTGTTGCTGAGTTCATCTAAGTATTTGTGTTCAATCTGCATACTTTAAAAACTCAATGTGACTTCTAAATTAGACTGTTGTAAGGATACCATCTGCCCTAAATAGTGGTTTTTTTTTAGAGCATTATACTTAAAGACAACATTTCCTTAAAAAAAAAATCAACTCATGTCTATGAAGAAACAATGATACTGTAAAATTAGTACAGAGAAGAAAAGTCCAAAATTCCGTATTTCTCTGTTTAACACCTGTACAGTAAATTGTAGGTGACAATCACATTGTTACATTCATAGGACTGCAAAGCATAAAGAACAAGAGCTACATCTTGCTTTGCCTAAAGAAATTAAAGACAAGTTTAACCTGCACCTGCCAAACTGTCTTAAAAGGGACAGAAATAGGTGGCAGAGGAAAGGCTCACCTCTCCTGTACCCCAGAGTGCGTCTCCCTGAAATCATTTTAAATATAAGCAATATATCTGTCACCTTCTTTTTTTTTCTTCCATTCTAGTCAATGGCAGACCCTTTACTACACTCCCCTGCCCACTATCTCAAACACACATTACAGAATAAGGGGACCCAAGTGTCACTTACCAGTTGCATGCCACAGATAAAGATAAGCGTGCACCTGCCACTGCAATAACCCATGGTTTCCGAGACCCCTGCCACAGACAGACTGTCCCACGTCGGCCACCGTCGAGCCCCCACTTTATCCAATCAGATCGCGGGGAAGGAGAGGCAAACCTGCCGAGGGCTCGGGGGCTCCGGGCTGCTGCTGCCAGCGTCCTGGGAAGTGACAGGCATTAGGACCTGCTGGCGCGGCGGCGGCGGCGGCGGCAGCTCCAGCCGCGCCCGCCCCACATACCTTCACTCGCTCGGTGCACAAGCCGCGCCGCGGGCAGCGCCGCCTGCGAAGACGCGTCCGGGGCCCGCAGGGGCAGCAGCGGCAGCCTGGTAGCGCCGCCGCGCCCTCGGGCATCTGGCCCCCGAAGTTTCGCCCCCGCCGCTCCCCGCGCCGCTCGCCTCACGCCCCCCAACGCGGCCGCCGCCCGATGCGCGCTCGCCCGGCGCTCTCCGCGCGCAAGCTCCGGGGGCGGCAGAAGCGCGCGCGGGCCGCTGCCCGCCTCCCTGCGCAGCCCGCGGCTCCTTTGCGCCCTGCGTTGCAGGGCCTGGCGGGCGGGGGCGGGGCGGGGAGCGGGTCGCGGGCCGGGCGGGGGCGTCCGGGCTCCGCGGTCCCCGGCGGCGGCGGCGGCGGCGGCTGCTGCGCGCAGTGATGCGGGTCCTCGCCGCATCCCAGCAGCGGCGCTGCCCCTCCCCTCGCCCAGATATGTGAATCCTCGTCCTACAACAACCTGCTCCCCGCCGCCCCTTCCAACGGGGCCAACTTCTAGGACGGCTGGGGCTGCCACCCAGGCGGCCGCTAGCGGCGGTGTCCAGGCGGAAAGGAGCGGCGCGAAGGCGGGGACCGGGGCCTCGGGGCGAGGAGTCCGGGCGGCATGACCGCCGCGTGCTAGGCTGGAGTCGGTCCTGCTCCAGGAGCCGAGTGGGGCACTCCACGGAAGCGAACCAAGTGTGTGTGCGCGTTCGCGAGTGAAGGGACGAAGAGGAGGGCTAGGGAAGGAGGCTGGGGTCATGGAATAGGGGTGCAGCCGAGGCATCCAGAGCGGCCGGAAAGCCCGAGTGGCGGAGAGGCCAGAGGTGGCGAGGAAAAGGGGTGCGGTGGCCCCGGATGCACTGCCTGCCGCAGAGCACCCGGCTCCCGAGGATCTGAAGGACCGGAGAGCTACGGAGCGGACCCTGCTTGGGGAAGGGGACCGAGTTGCTGCTGGAGTTGGGAAAATTTAGCAACCGGAGCGAATAGGGATGCGATGAGTTGCTGTTGCTGCTTCAAACTGTTGTTTGTTTTCACTTAAAATATTAGAGTCGGAGACCATTTTAATACTCAGTTACTTCAGCCTCACAGACCCTCCAGCTGGGTGTGGATTCCTAGTGGAGAAGCTCGAGCCGCCTCTGAGCACTGGCTGCTACCCGCAGAGACGGGCTTCGGAGCCCGCTGCTGCCACCTGCGGGCTGAAAGCTGAAGGAAGAGCCCAACATGCTGGTCCAAGGTGGCTGCCCCTGGGGGTGGGTATTTAGGACTTAATTTCTTTTATAGCCCTGGGCAGCTAGTGAAAGCAATCCTAACTTTTCCAGGAAGTGAAGATTATTTGTTGAGATCCACTGAGGAACTGACTCATTGGGGTAAAGTGCCATGATTGATAAGAGAATGGTTTAGGTAGCTAAATAGCAACCAACTCCCTAGCACCCTTCTTAAGAGATTAAGATGAGGAAACCACATGGAGCAGAGAGCTCTGTAGCAAGTGGCACTTGGTGCCTGCTGAGAAAAATGGCATTTGTAAAGGATAAAGTTACGCAGGGAACCACAAATAAGGATCCCGAATGATTGCTTCCTTTGAATAAATATTATGACGTATTAGAATGACTAAATGCAAAGAAATTGAATAAGGCAGAGAGACTTTATTCTCCAGAAGCCTGGCACTGAATTTTCAGAAACGATTTGTCAGTCCTAGAGAGCCAAAAAGGGATTAACTGTTAAATTTATGGAGCACAGATATTTTATTGCTATAATGAGAACGTCTGCTTTTAATCGTCCCATTTGTAAAGGGACTTTTCTTCTGAAAAATGCTTTTCAGTGTTTAATAAAATTCCCAAGAGCCCAATATGTGCTCTTAGGCACTGCAAGGCTTCGAAGGTAATAACTGTTCCACAACCTTTGGTAAAACCGAAGCCTTGTTCTTATTCTGCCTTTATACGCATTAGCTGTCCTGTACCTGCTAGGGTTACAGGTATTTTGCATTATCAAACGCAAAGCTGTAAGTTAATTGACTATTCAAGAAGCTGCTGCCATATTGTCAAAAGCATTCTATTACTTTCTTAAATTTATCATAGGAACAAGACGTTTATGTGGATCCCTCCATAATTCTGCAGAGGTTTCGCTGCAACCAGCAATAGCCTAAGTAATCTTTATGTTGTATAGGAAAGCAGAATGCTATCTGTAGCTGACTGGCAGTACCTTATGAGAGTTCTTGGAGTATACCCTTTCAGTCCATGCTCACCTTTTTGTAATCACTGGGGACAGTTTGTTTTCTAGCCGTAGGAGGTGCTTGGCTGAACAATAAGGTTCCAGCCTTAAGAGCTACCCTCGCCCAAGAATGGATGGGAGTTGGTGATAAGTACCCCAACTTCTTCAATCCACAGATGGGAAACCCTCAGACATGTTCTAATTCAACCCACGGGGGTTGAGCCATAGGTGCCCACAGTAGTAACTGGCTCATTCATGCACTCTGAATTGCCTTCCTTCCCTTCCATGCCTCATCTCCTTACTTTTGTACCACTACTTCCTGAAATCACCTCTGAAATAAACCATTTCACTCAAATCCTTGTGTCAGAGACTGCCTCTTGAGAATCCTAACCTAAGGCATTCTCCAGGGGCTTTGATACCTCATCTGACATCACTGGCACAGTATTCTCAGAAGTGTGAACTACAAACACTTAATGTTGAGCATTTTCTATGCGCAACTGCTGCCTTATTTACTAAACCTACATCTTTTCATTCATTTATCACAGAAAACCCGTGAGCTGATAAAATGCACATTCTAAAGATATACAAACTAAGAGAAATCAAATATTTTTATCACAGATGCACATGTTCTTGGCAGCAGGATTAGAATTTGAAGGGCACGACGAGACACTAAATTTCACTTTTCAAACTACTGTACCATACTTCTTTATTTTAATATGCACTCCCTGTCATTCTTTTGGAATTCTATACAAAAGTGATGGCAAAAATATTTTGAAGAATAATCACATATATTCTATCTGTAAATTAAACTGGCATCACATTCTTTACATATAGTATAGGCAATGCCTGACTTATGAAAGGGCACCCTAGTTATAGATGCAATTCCATAACTTAATGTGGCTATGCACTTCCTATTCCGTTTTCTATTATTCCTGGAACTGAGTGTCTTAGTAGAAGAGACTAAAAAGAGAATCCCAACAGTTCCATCGATGTACATGAAGGAGAGAGATGTCTCCAGTTTGAATGTTGATTGCATTTTCACTTAGAAATAAGGTCATAAACTGTTTAGTTATATAAGGTGTCATACCTTTCGTTGACTAATATGTGACATGATATTGTGAATTGCCTTGTTTCTTTGGGGAAAATGTGCTACATATTCCACACCTCCATCTGCCTCACCTAGCCATGCTATTTTAAAGTACTTTTCAAGGTTGTTTCAGGTCTATTATCTCATTTATCTCTCAGAACAACTCATGCAATGCAGTAGGCACACAGCCACTAAGTGAGTGGAGTTCCAGACTGCTAACACTCAATCACTTCAGCTACACCACAAGCTCAAGCTTGGCTTTGCGACTCTGCTGAGCAATTTAACTGCATTTTATTGTCTCCATTCATTAGTTTAAAAGCATAAAAGCAACAATTAGTTCTTTTGAAAATTTTTATGGGTACATAGTAAATGTATATGCTTATGGGGTACAGGAGACATTTTGATACAGGCATAGGATGCAAAGTAATCACATCTTTACATTCACAAAACTGACATATTTGATTCATTGTATATATTACATATTTTATATTAGCATGGATTTTTTTCTTGCTTGGATAATGATTAGGAAAATCTTATATATTTTAAATATGAATGGCATGTCAGAAGAAAATAACTACAAATCCTTCCATCCAGAGGTAATGTCATTTTTATACAAACCATTTTCTAACAAAAATAGGGTGATATCATGCACAACATATTTTAACCTGCTTTTTTTTTTAATTTAACAATTGACCAAAAACACGTATCCAAATTATTAAGTTCATGGACTCTGCAGCCAGACATTTAGTTTCATAATCCAAGCTCTGCCATTTATCAACTATGTAATCTTAGGCAAATCACTTAGCTCTTTATGCTTTGTTTTCTTCTCTATAAAATAGGAGGGGTAATCACATATATCATAGAGTTTTTGGGAGAATTAAGTAAACGTCAACTAAGTAAAACTTTTAGAACAATGCTGTATTAGGGCTTTCTACAGGGAAAGAACTAATGGAATATATATATTATATATATTTTATATATGGGAGTTTGTTATATATTATGTATATTATATATATGGGAGTCTATTAAGTACGAATTCACATGATCACAAAGTCCCACAATAGGCTGTCAGCAAGCTGAGGAGCAAGGAGAGCCAGTTCAAGTCCCAAAACGGAAGAACCTGGAGTCCAACGTTCAAGGGCAGGAAGCATTTAGCACGGGAGAGGGATGTAGCCTGGGAGGCTAGGCCAGTCTCTCCTTTCACATTTTTCTGTCTGCTTATATTCTAGCCATGCTGGCAGCTGATTAGATTGTGCCCACCCAGATTAAGGGTGGGTCTGTGTTGGGGTCACCACCTGTGGGGGTCTGTCTTACAGACCCTGACTCAGTGACAGATGAATAAAATACACTGACACATGGATATTATGCTTTGCCAGTTCTACTGAGTGTGTCCTAGTGGCTTATAGGCACCCTGGAAAGTGTTGTAAACAGTTGGGATCACTGGCCTTCACACACTGGCCTCCTCAGCCTTTATTCAGTACACATTAAATAACAAAAACTTTGAGTCGGCAAGGCACAGTGGCTCAAGCCTGTAATCCCAGCACTTTGGGAGGCCGAGGCGGGTGGATCACGAGGTCAAGAGATCGAGACCATCCTGGTCAACATGGTGAAACCCCATCTCTACTAAAAATACAAAAAAATTAGCTGGGCATGGTGGTGCGTGCCTGTAACCCCAGCTACTCGGGAGGCTGAGGCAGGAGAATTGCCTGAACCCAGGAGGCGGAGGTTGCGGTGAGCCGAGATCGCGCCATTACACTCCAGCCTGGGTAACGAGTGAAACTCCGTCTAAAAAAGCAAAATCAAACAAACAAACAAAAAAACCTTTGAGTCAACACCACTACAGGTTAAAGATTAAAGGACAGGTTCCAGTGCCCAAAGCAAACACCATTAGTGGGTAATATGACCTCAGGGGGAGATCAACCTTCCCCTGAGAGGGTCATCTGGCTCAAAGGTTGGTTTTAAGACCACATGAGTAAATAGCT